TTGTTATAAAAATATTTATAATTGAAAATATTAATTTGAATTTTATTTTTCACAATTAAATTTCATTATTATAGAATAAAACTTTGTATGAACACAAAGAAGTTTCTTTGACGGATAGGAAAAAATTATGAAAAATATATTAAAAAATATATTTTTTAAATACAAATATGTATATTAACTAGCTCCGAGTTCGAATGACATTTCACTACCAACTACAACTCATCATCTTCATCATCAATTGGTTTGAACCTCCACTTAATTTCACCCAAATCATGCGTAGATCACTCGGGTTCGAGTCCATACCATCAAGGCATGCGAGGGTAAGAAGGTTAGAAAAGTTTAAAACTTAGAAATATTTCATAATTTTCATATTTAATTCATAATCCAATTAACTTATATATACATTTCTTGTTGATAAATTTCTATCCCTGCTTAACAAAATAAGAATCATAAATTCACTTTTCCTTAGCATTAATACTTAGCTGATTTGTTCAGATTATCATTCCATAATCCCCAGATATAATCTGGCCAAACTGATGAAAATTCAGAAGATTCTTCGTATGTTCTCGATCTTTCTACTATAAGACCGAAGATTGCAAGCTATCACAATTATTTTCGACCATAATCTTAAAAAAAAAAAAAAAAAAAAAAAAGAGAGAGATTACTATATCCACAAATCTAATGGCAACAAAATCCATCAACATACATTATTTAGACAACAACCATGGCTATAATAATTCTGTGTTGGCTGCACTTATTATTTGGAGTTTGAAGAAGTGTACTTCAGCTTGGAGGAAAAGAAGCCCTCTCTGCCGGACAATGTCCCCTTGGAAGGGATAGGAGCAGATGATACAAGCAAACATGCAGAAAAAAGAATGTTTGGATGCAAAATACAATTAGACCATGAATGGGCAGATGAGAGAAAATAAAAGGGATGTTAATATAAAGATGTGTATAACATGTAGCACAAGATAACATTTACAGGAAACACGAATGTCCCGTCTCGCAAGCTCAAAAAGGACTTGAAGCAACTATATGACGAAATCACCCTCTCTCCTTTTTTAATTCCTCCTTTGTTAGATTGCACAAACTTTAGTTCAGTTTTTATTTACACCTATATAATCAGAAGAGTGGCGGGGCAGAAGGGTATAATTTCTAATATACATTAATACACGTATATTGACCCAACAAATCATGTAACTTTTCTCTAAAACCTGCCAGCAAACCCCCTAGAACTAGCACATTTACATGATGACCGCAATGTACAGTATGATAACTGAATAAATAAATCATGTAAATCAATTTAAGGTGTGCTACTACCCAGAGCTTAGGAGCTCACACTCCTAGGTTTTGTCACCGGTCAGCCTCCCTTGTCCTGCATCAGTAATCAACTCAGGATTCACATATTCAGATAGCTGGAAGCATAACTATTTTTAAGTTATCTATCAGAAATGTTCATAAGGGGTTACACATGGTCAGCAAGTATCCAGATAACTTGTGAATAAACCCTTGCTCTGAAGTGGATTTGGTACTGTGGAGATGATAGCAAAACCAAAATATGATCCTTCTAAAAGTTTATTTTCTTCTTTTTTGATAAATCTGAAGATAAGTTAAAAACTGTGGATCTGTTTCCTTATAAATTTCCCCAAGATACCTATGAATTCAAACAGGATATTGTCTTCAAAGGTTAGCTGCATATAAAAGTACTAACCTGATCATACTTAAACTAGATCACGCCAACATCGATTCCCATGTCCGCTATAACATCCTCATTTTCAATTTCTGCATCTGTAAAAGTCAATGCCCGCTGTAGCTTCCTTGGACAAAACACCTCAACTTCAGCCATAAATGTGGCAGTCACTGGTCGATGATCGGAATTATTAAGCTCAATCCTCCTATAACTCAGTAGCCTCATCCCCTTACCAAATGAAAGGATGCGGTCACACCTGAAAAGTGAGTTCACATAAATATCCTCAAAAACATCATTAAAATTCGAAAATTTGAGATGATGATGAAGAAAACATTATGTAGTCCTCATGAGAAAAGAAGTGAAAGTTAGCAAGAAAATGTCTAGCTGCGTTACACAGCATTGATTCGCAACAAGTTCTGCTTTACTTTTTGCAACTGGTGTCAGCTTTTATTTAGAATGTTTTAGCTTGTCTAGGAAAATTTAAGAAGTTGCCCGTGATATGCCCCTCAAGAATTGTATACTTCACATCATTACAAGAAATGTCCACAACAAGCCTACCAAAGATGTATATACTAAAATTCTCAACAACAGAACAAAAGGTGCAATGAGAGGACCCGAATCTCCATTATCATGAACATTTTCCATTATCATCAAGGCTGATCCAATAAAAGGAGAAAATGTTAAAAAAAGAATATGTAAAATGTGTTGATGATTAATAAATGAGAAAGTCCCAAGTTCATGAAAGAAAAACTTGTTAAAATGTTAGTTGGTTAACCAAATTAACCAATTATCAAATTACTTTATGCAAAAGAAATCCCACAACTAGACGGCAATCCAACCTTGGCATGTGCAAGCAGCAACAAGTAGCCAACGAAATGTAGTGACTATCAAGCACAAAATTCTGAAAATTTTTATTATGACCAAGAATCAACACTGGCTTGACCATGTAAAGGGTCTCATATTAACATAAGGAAAGAAAGACAACCAGGTTGAAGCATGAAGACAAATGCATTGCCAATTAAGTTGATAATCTTTTAGGCATAAAAGCAGATCCAGGGTAAAGATGCACATAAAATACAAAATCTTGCTATGCATACCATGCTGGAGTACGCCTGCCAGCCTTCGGTTCCCCTCCAGAGTACTTCTCTGAGTATATCTCATATTTATATGTTGGTGGAAAATTTAAAGTTCCCTCTGACCATCCATCAAATGCCCGACCTTTTCTAAGTTCTCGTGTAAGCTACCATTAGAAGATATCCAAACATTAGTGTTTAGTTATATAAAAGTTTGATTTACAACCAGGAAAAAAAGTACTCACTGTGTTTTAACAGTGATCAAAGAGAGAATTTTTTTGGAATGGATAGTCTGGATGTAATATTAGGGCTTTGCATATGTAAAATGTATCATATAATGATTTATGGGCCAATGTTTGTCATAAGTCTGGATGTAATATTAGGGCTTTGCATATGTAAAATGTATCATATAATGATTAATGGGCCAATGTTTGTCATAAGTTGTCAAATATGCACCTCAGCTGTAATCGTGGAACTGTGATTGGTGAGAAAGAATCAAGAAATAGCTAAAGCATTGCACAATTTCCTGTTTCATTCTTTTTCTCATAACATGATGAGCAAGAAATATAATTAGTTCGACAGTTCAAATCCAACACACTCGTAGAAGCACATTCTTCAATGATTTGGACTACCTCATGAAAATTCTTTTCTCACCTGATCCTTTTCAAGTAATTTGGACCACTCCTTTTTGGATATCAAGTCATGTGTTTTCTCATACGATAAGTTAATACGATAGTTTAGATCACCGAACCAAATTATTCTTCTGCAAGGAAATAAAAACTTACAATCTTAGAGACCATCTGTTTTTCAAGAGTATAGATGTCATAATGACAATACAGCAACCAGGAAGATAAATAAAAGCAAATAAACTATATTATCAATCTGGAAAATGTAATTCTCTCTCTCTTTACTCTTCCACTATACTCACGCCCTTTGAAAAGTTTCATTTCCTGCAAATCAAGGTTTAGGTTTGTAACTGATTCAAATTTGTATGGAATTCATTTGAATTTAACTCTTATTTTATTAGAAAATTATGGAAGTCCTGCATAAAAGGATAACAATTGAGTTCATATGAAATTCTATGGTAATTCCAGACTATATCAATTTTCAAGGAATTTGGAATGCATTGTTTAAAATTCCACACTGAATTCTATATGAATGTAAATTTTCTATCTTCCTAGTAAAATTTACACCATCTTCTACTTAAACTTAGTTTAGTTTACAAATGAAATTCCACAACCTTTCTAGAACTATTCCAAACACAGCCTAACCCCACATTCATGTTGGTAGATAGAGAAGTCTAATCTCAACCTGCTTAGATACAGATAACCATCTAAAAAGAATTTACTGACTTACTTATTTTCATTTCTAAGTTTCTTGAGGACAATAAATCTTAGACTTAACCTCACAATAAAGTGGAAATTGATGAAACAGAATAAGAAATCTACATTTTTTGATGTGTCTATCACAAAGTAATTCAGTTGAACATAGAACATTAAGATAATGAGTTGCCATGCACTTACTCATGGTCCCGGATGCTTTTGGGGATGCCAATTGCTGGAAGTGAATGAAAGTGAGTTCTTCGATGTATTTCATTGACATCAGCATTTCTCTTGAGTTCATCTCCATCTTTTTCACCTGATGTTAGATGAGTGCATACAAAGCAAAAAAATGTTTGATAGATGGACATGCTGACAGATATAGATCCCTGGAAGATTGAAGAACTGTCATAATCTCAAACGAAACAGTATTAATTAAATTAAGTGCTCAACGAGGTTGGAACAGAGAAATAAGAACAAAACATTTATTGGTCCAAAAATTTAATAAGTAGTTACCATCTAACTAGAAATACCAGATCATAAGACATGTTACTAAAGCCATTTTTTTTTCGAGGAACCATAGTTACCAAAGCCTAGCATGCTATCCATTAATAATATCTCCATCTTCTCCAAGCATGCTTATTATGATTATTTTTCAATAAACCGAGAATGTTACTTTGATTTTTAAGATCCAAGATCTTAGTTTCTGGTTTCTTGTTTATTTCTCTCCACTCTCTGCTTGTCCTACATTTATCACCAATATATTCGGTAACGTTTTCAAGGTAAGAAACAATATAAGTTAGGATATTTGATGACCAATGCACCATACTCTCGCACATCAATACATCCAGTCAGGTGTTCATCATAAGGAACCATATGCAATAGGATATACATGATGACCAAGTCAAAGATGCAGATAACTTGGAAGCCATCAGAAAAATCCAATCTTTTCCCAATTTGACCACGTCAAGCTACTGCATTTTGACATTTTTTTTACGATTCAGAAACATGAAAGAAAAGATAAAAAAATGCAAACAGAAGGAGAAAAAAGAACAAAGAAAACAACTAGCGTACGGTTCTATGCACAATAATGTATCTGAGATAAAGTCATTATAACTTCAAATAAATACCAAAAAATCCTGGAAAAGAACATACCTTGTTACCTATGTAGCCCATAACACCAACGCCTACAGTAGACACCTTTAAGTTGTGTATATGCTTGCGCAAGCCCCTTCGAACCCATATGGTTAGGAAAATCCCAACCATCTGCTTACTTACTATTCTCACATATGATGATTTTCTTTTTTGCTTCATCAGGGATTTAAAGTCAATATCTGCAAGTAAAGCTATTTCTGAAGGCCCTTGACTCCCTTTCAACTTGAAAGAGCTATAAGTTCCGAATGACTTGGAGGTTTTAAAAGACTTCATTATTTTGAAGGAATTTGGTCTCTCCAAAACATGCTGAGATAGCAAATTCAATGGGCATTCGGGCCAGGTTAAACCAATCCTCTCAGATCCACTAAGCAATCTGTTTAATTTGCCATTATTTTGAGCAACTGGTGCTTCTACCTTTTCAGCAAAACTTTCTGTTCGTAAGCAGTATAGCCTATCTAACCTCTTTGGAGAAGAAACTTGCCTTTGTAAATCGTTCTGTATTGACATGTCAGATTTAGAATTATCAGTGAAATCGCCTCCAGAACATGCAAGCATGTTTTCACCAGTGATTGGTCCATCCTTCAGTTCACCAAAATCATTGTATTCTTCATCCAATGGATGGACTTCTTCGCCAATATCACTATCAGTTTCAAGCATTATTTCCTCTTCTATATCAGGAACATCAACAAATGGCTTAAACTTTGATGGAGATGGGGGATCACTATAGCATTTGATCTTTTTCATCGAACATCTAATCCTATCAAGTGTTTCACGAATTATATCTTCCCACTTTGAAACTGGGCGGTTATCTTCAGCACCAAAAATATTCCCAGCATTTAATGGTACAATCTCCTGAAGACTGGAAGTACAAAACATTAATCACAATAAATGCTCTTAGACTAGCATCAAAATGAAGAAAAAAACCTAGATTGACTATGGAAACAGTTGAAAACATAAAACATAGAACTGGATTCATCAGAAAATCTGAAGAAATGAACTATACAAAGAGCGCCTGAAACCTATGTGCTAGGTGAGAGGCAAACATTGTATGAGAATACAGACTTAGTGACTGATGAAGTTCAGAATATAAGGAAGCAAAAGACATACCCAAGTACATAGATGTCAGCAGGTTCATTGACATCTATCCAATCATCAATATCTAGGTCATCAGGAGGAGCCCTTCCTCCAACATTCCATGTACCGACGCGTATCCTAGGAACATAGGAGGTACACTCATTGATTTAATCAACATAATTTACACAATTTAGACTTACTGCAGCTGGCCAAAAAACTGAAATTAATTTCCAATTTCATGTTATCTAGACAAGTGGGAGAAGTGTTATACCTGAGTTCCTTTGTATTTATATATTGTGCCCTAAAGGTTTCTGAATTTCGTCGTCTTAGCCTTGGAAGAGCATCTGAAGTCCCAAGGAAAAATAAAACGTTAAATCCAAAAAGAAAATCAAACTCTATATTAGAGATTATAGAAACAATATATCAAGCTCCTTTAGTCAAAATCAAAACTGGAAAAAAAAATTCAATACATGAGGTTAAGCGATTTGCTAAGGCCTGACAAAGGAATGCATGCATGACTTTCCATAAACCAATAGATTATGTAACAAACTAGCACCAAGAAAAGCAAAATATATTTCATGTTAACTTGGATATGAGATCAAATAAGAAGTTTCCATCTTTCTCTCCTGCAAGACCAAAAATGTCCTTAAAAATGTCAAGTGATCAAGCATCTACTAATTTAGTTGCAAATTACCAATCCGAGAAGACAGAAAAGCAATACACAATAAACAATCCATGAAGAGATGCTAAACCTATCTTCCAATGGCTATTGCAAGGTATTATAAGATAATATTGTATCAACTTCATTAAGTGCAACTCATTACTTGTCCTGACTAGACTTTTTCAAAGGACTTGAGCCAATATAAAAAGATATCAAAGCCGCTTCTTTCAGCAAGGATGAATATCACATTCCTAATATACTATAGGCTTCTAAATCAGACCAAATTAACTCCATACAACCCAGTTTAGTCTCAGAGATCATAGAGCAATAATTGCTGCGGATAGGAATACGCTCATACTTCAGTAATCAAGTGTAAAAAATTGAAGCATTACCACTAAGATCAACCTGAACACCCTCCGGTTTGTCTCTTGCAAACCGAGATTCTCTCCTCCATTGACAGTTTTCTGCAAAAACCACTTCACATTTAGATCAAAACCTTCAAGATTCTTCTTCACAACATCAAAACAAAACCCCTAACCCCAGTAAGAGCAAAACCCACGCAGGCAAAACCCCGATAAACAAAGAAAACATCAGAAAAAAAAAAATTAAAAAAAAAACTTGATCTTGGAGGCTGAATTCAAGGCACCAGTGTTCACCTTCAACTTCTGAATCGTAATCGGTATCCTCATCTTCGGTATCGGCGCTGTAATCGGAATCTTTGGCGTTGATGTTGAGCCATTTGCGCATTACAACTCGGGGCCAGAACAACTGTAGGCAGGAGCAAGCCAAACAACACATTTCAGCCCATGTTCTCTGCAAATCACCTCTTAGTTTTGGAAAATAAAAACCACAAAGGAGAAGATATGGGAATAAAGCAAGCAAGGGAAAAAAAAAGTACCTCCGGTTGGTGTTTCGAGCGTTGCTGCTTCATATCTGTGCCTCTGTGTGTATATATATATATATATGTATGTATGTATATACAGCTAGAAAAAACAGAGAGAAACAAGTAGGAAGAAGAAAAGACAACAATGAAGTGAAATTTGCAGAGAGAGAGAGAAAGGGAAGCAGAAAGACAGATTGAAAATGGATGATGATAGCTGGGAGTTAAGAGGGTTGAGCATTAACCAACTTTACTCGGAAACTAACGGTAGTGGGCGGCGTACTTATTAATTAAACAGAGTATTTAACAGGATTAAATTAATCAAATCTAATCAAACTAATAATTAAAGAATTTGACCAAGAACAAAAACTAATCACTAAATTATGATTACCATAAAACTCCATTACTGTAATTTTCTATTTATTATGTTCTGGGTAATTACCATTTTAATTTCAAAATTGTGATATTATTACGTAAGAGTCCAAAAAAAAAAATAATTTGAGTATATAAAAGTACAGAGATTAGCATTGTATTAAAATCTGATTAATTTAATATTATAATTAATCGTCGGTAAATTACCTAAATATACTTTTATTAAAGTTATAAAATAAAAGACAAATAACTTTTTCCGTACGTTATCTCTAAGAGATATGGACTAAATCTTGATAATTAAAGACAAATGAGGTTTAATTATAAATGGTTAATTAAATAGTTAATTATTTTAAATTTTGTAAACTCTATTTTGGAAATCAGATGAGTGAATACATTAAACGCGATTTTTTATGACTAAATTTAAAAATTAAAAATTGATTGCCGTTTATTTTGACGTGAACGGTGACGGTGAGAAATGAGGAACCCGGTCCACGCGGATTTGGGTTGATGGTTAAGAGTTAGACGGCCGGCTGGGTGGGCCAGGCCAAGTTTGATTGGAGGTTTTAGACTGAATGGGACCCACATAATGTGGTCCCATTGTGATAAGGAAGCCACGTGGACGTTGATGAATTTAATAATAATAATGACGCGAAAAATCACGTCAGGAATTTCGGGAAACTCGTGACTCAGAATAATTTGCTTAGTTGTGCTCATTTTGTTATTTAATTAAATTCGCATTTAATATAATTAATTATCAGTTAAATAATTAATTAAGAAATAGTGGGATGATGTAAAGGAATATAAAAATAATTAATTTTAATTAATTAATAGAAGCATATTCTCGTTGAAGTAAACTTCAATTATGGGCCTTGATCTAAAAATAACTTTAATTATGGGCCTTTGGACACAAGTTATTTTATTATATTTTACATTACCCTTTTTTTATATCATCAGTAGTGTTGATATGTAGCAGTGATAATATATTTATATATATATATATGTTTATAGGATCTATAAACAAAATTTCAAAGTACTTGTTTTTCTGACTATTACATCTTACCAAACTACCATGAAGAGTTACTAGTAACTATTAAACTTGTGACTAATTTATATTTTCTCCTGTGTAAAGATTCTCTCACTATGATTATAACAAACAAATTAAGTTTAATTAACTTTAGTTTTTGTTCATTTGGCCAATTAATTCATTGTTGTGACCAAATCTTTTTGCCATCCTGCAATTTTGAAATACATATATATGTGTGTGTGTGTGTGTCCCATTTTTTCTTGTATGGATAGAAATGAAGAAGTGGGCATTTCCAAAGGAAATGAAGAAATGGGTAGTTCAAAAAATGACTTGTTATGTATATACATGCATGTATATATAACTAAATATCTATATGTGTTTTGAAGAGGAAAGAACAGGTGAGGGAAGGAAAAGAACTTGATAGATCATAAGATATTGATAACTTGATCAAGTAGTCTAAAAGGCCAAGTTAAACAAAGTCCTTTCTAGTTCTCTCTCTCTCTCTCTCTCTCTCTCTCTCTCTCTATATATATATATATTATATGAATCTCGAATAGAAACACCCAGATCTTAAAGTGAGCAAAAACACAAGATCATACCTGTTTTTCTCTTCTTGTTTTGCTTCGGGAAGTCTTTTTCTTCCTGCTCAGATCTTACAACCAAAACCGCACACGTATAGATTGATTCCCAGCACGAAAACAAATCTGGGTTTGCTTTATTTTAGTGGAATCTAAAAAGGGTCTTCGTCTCTTTGAAGTGGTTGTTGTAGCTGGGTGATTTGAGAGCTGAGTGAAGAAGAGAATAATGGATTCCAGGGCTTGTTTGGTTGGTGCATTTTATAGATTTGTCAAGTGCTGAAATTCGGAGGTCACGTCTTGTCTTCACTCTTGACAAGCGACTGCCACTGTACACGCGGCCTTCCCCATCTTTCTCTCTCTTTTTTATTTTTTTTTTCTAATTTTGCTATTTCTTAATTATAAAATTAAAAATTATTATTATTATTATTTACCAGTTGAATTCTTCTTCTGTAGCCATAATTTTTTACTCCCAGTAATTTCTTTTGTCTAATTAATTATTTAGGTATCCATAATTATAGTTACCGCATGCAACGTGAAACACAAATAAAATTATATCTGAAATAAAATCGTACATGAATTCATAGTAGAAAAAATGTGTATATCATACGATAAATCTTTTAAATCAACAAATAATTTTTTAGAATTTTTACCTTTTCTATTTTAATTATGGAATGACATAATAAGAAAAAATTATATATATAATTTATAGATCATAACCGTCTGTTTACATTATTAATTTTTTATTATTTTTAACTTAACTTATCATAAAATCATAAATAATATTTTTGATATATACACATAAAAAAATTCGTACTTTATTTAATGTATTAAAATTTAATATCCGTTTAATTTTTTATATTACTTTTAAACATGTTCAATCAAATTGATAACGTTTTATACACTCACATTAAGTTTACACGGTTGATTAAAACACAACAATATATACAATATTAATCTATTGTAGTTACTTTAATTTAAAGAATTTAGCCGTTACATAATGTTTCTTTTATCATATTCGTAATAATGTTACACAATTTAATTACCATAATATCACTGTTACACTAATAAATTAATATCTAAATTAATTATTATAAATTAATTACTATTATATTTTAAAATAAATTATAACAATATTACTAGTAATAAAAAAAGTTGATATCTACTTAAAATAAAAGAAAAAAAAACTTGGGCTAAATTCAATAATTTATAAAATATTATTTAATTTAATTTTCTCTCTTATATTAATTCTTATTTTCTTGAATACTTATAAAAATCGCCAAAAACATTTTACACGATTTTGATTTGAAAGCTTTGAATTAATGAGGGAAAGTCACAATGAATTAACCAGGAGGAAATTATTTTTTTCACTAACTTCTTCTAAATATATATATATTATTAATTTATTTTTTTTTATGATTATAAAATTATTTTAAGTTGTGAAATTTCGTTAATACTTCTTACAAGAAAAAGCAAACAAAAAAATATATATTAAACGTGTTTCTCACTTTAATTCATACGATATAATTGACAAATAATAAAATTTCATTTAGAGTAAAGGTAATAAAAAGTTTCATACTATTTCACCCATCAAATATGTATTTATATCATGAATTATATTTTCTAGCAATATGTATGAACAAAACCAGATCGAACAAAAAATCAAATTGAAAAAATATTTATACCCAATACATGATCCTTTCTTAGTGCATATGGTATGGACTGTAAATTTTTTTGTTTGATTTTGGTCTATACTAAAAATATCAAAATGATTTTTTAAATATAATAACTTTTAGAAAATTATAAATACATTCATAAATATATATATTATTATAACATACAAAAAACTATAGGTTATGTACATATATAAATGTGTACGCACACACATTTTATATATTATTATAATATTCACACACACACACCAAATTGCAATTTTCTTCTAAAAATTTTCCCATTTGATACTTTAAATAATAGGTAGACATATTTTTAGTATTAAGTTAATTTACTTTTAAAAAAATATATATATAATATAAATTACAAACCCATTAAAAAAATTACTAATTATAATTTATGAAATTGCTAAAATAAAAAAAAGAATTGGAATAAAGTTATGGTGTGTGTTGGTGCATGAATGTGGGCACGATCATAAGTTATGTTGAAATAATTATTTTGTCCACCCTCTTTATTATTTTATGTGCACCACTTTTAGAATTTAATTAAGAAACACACACACATATATATATATATATACATACATATATATTAGTCTTACGAGCATGGATGGAGTCATTGACTCATGAGCCCATGCTATGGAAACTTTACAAAAATTAAAGTAATTTATTTTTTACACTTCAAAGATTTAGAAAATTGTGGGTGTCCTACCAAATTATAAAAATTGTTAAATTTTAATCAACGGTGTAAATTTTATTATCTATAAAAAATTATTAATTTAACTAAGTTCGTTTAAAAATAATTTGTTAAGATTTAATATTTATGTACAGAGACAAAAAAATATTATTTTTAATTTTATGATTAATCAAATTATAAATAGTGAGCATGGGTGGAGTCAATGACTTGTGAGGCCATGCCATGAAAATTATTTTTTACACTTAAAAGATTGTAGAAAATTGTGGGTGTCTCATTAAATTTTATGAAATTTGTTAAGTTTTATTATTATTTAGTGTATTAAATAAAGTTTAAATTTTTTTACGTACAAATATAAAAAATATTATTTATAATTTTATAATAGATTAAATTTTAAATAATGAAAACTTAAATATATAAATATACAATTATAGTAATCAAATCACACATATATTTTTTTTATTATGTCGTCCCATTATTATAAAAAAAATGTGTGAAATTTTTAAAAAATTATATGTTGATTTAAAATATTTATCACATGATGTATAAATTTTTTTTCATTATAAATTTAAGTACGTTTATATTTTAAATATAATATATTTGATTTAAAATGAGTATGAATATTTATTTATATTACTATTTATTTTATAAAATTTATACAAAAATAATAATTAATGGAAAATATTATTGCTCATACAGTAAATTTGTTGTAAACGTAATGACAAGTTTAATTTAATGAATTCAGTTAACCGGAAATTTTGTAAAAAGATAAATTTTATATTATATGATCAAATTATATATATATATATACTTCGTAATTAATTAATCAAGCAGGGTTACAGCAGGATTAATGATCACGTGGCATGATTACATTTGAGATGAAACGTGGCTGAAGGAAAATTAAGGTGGCAGAGTTTTGTAATTTTTAATTTTGAGATACAATCTTAAACTAACGTAACCATATAAATTAATGTTGGAAAATTTTAGCCATAATATATATATATATATGTGTATGTATATGTACGTATGTCAACGACATATAATT